TGCCTCCCCACGCTGCTGTCCCGCCGTCAGCATGAAGGTCGAGTTTGCCCCCATCAACATCCCTCTAAAGAGGAGGATCCAGACAGTCGCCGTGCTGCAGTGGATCTTCTCCTTCCTCCTGCTGGGTAACAGCCTTCCCCCTTCATGCCCTTACCCCAGAGAGAAAAGGGAAAGGAAAGAATCGGTTTTTTCGTTAACCGGCATCACCCGTGGGCATCGGTCCGTGGTTCCACCTGGTGGCAAGCGGCTCCCGGGCTATCCCTGGGTGGGCAAGAGCATCGCACTTCTGGGCTTGGGCCGTCTCTTCCCTGAAAGCTTTGGATGGCGTTTTCTCTATTTTGGGGGATCTCTTTCTTTCTATGGGTTCTTTTTCAAATGTGATCTTAAAAAGCTAGTGACTGCATCTTCTCATGGAGATGCCCACTAGGTTTCTGACAGCTAACAACTGTTTATTGAACATAAACATAAAGGCTGATACATGACTAATGCTGGTTTTGTTACTGATTTTGTAAAATAACTTTAGATACTACAGTTCAGTAAAATTCTCATTTAACTAGATGGTGAAAATTAATAAGGATTGACAGTGAACTGGCTTAAATGCAACCACTTCTGTAAATTTATGAAAAATGTCCTCACTTGCTTTAAGAAAGTGTTCCTAACAGTTTTACTTGGTAAACTTTTCCCACTGATTATTCCTCTATAGTGAATTTTCTTAATATCTTAATAGACTCCTATCACTAAACATCTGTTCACAGCATCAAATCTTATTCTCATGGGTAGTTATCTTGAACTTGATAAAATGAGTCACTTAATAAGGTAAACTAAGCTTTAACTCTCTGGGATCAGATCCATGGATTGTGTAAGTTGGCAAGTGGTTATTGAATGATCTATGTGGAACAAAACTGTTCTGAGGTGACGGACTGACCACCTGTGCGTTACTGGAAATGGTGGAATGTTGTGTTAGAACCGTCTATGCTTTAGGACTTAAAAGAAGAAAAGGAATGTGCATGTGTCTTCCTTCTGTGTCTAGGAAATATAGTATGATTCAGATGGCGGTCTGATGTCTTTCAGATGATTTTTGGTTTTTAGGTTGTTAGCCCACACATAAAAGATTTGAGTTTGTGGGGGAAGCGTGGACGATATGAAGCACCTTCACAGATTTCTCTTTAGCACTGGGCTGGTTTATGTTATCTCTGAATTATATATGATTGGACTATAAACAGTTCATGTTTGTGGCTACATTGCAAATAGCCTGTGCTTCTAATTTTCTGTTATTGAGTTAGATCTTTGCATATCCCATTATTCCAGTCTAATGATAATGCAGTGGAAGTTCAGTGGCAGTGGGAGGAAACAATTATTGTCCTAGCCTGGTTGGTAACAACACTGCTGCAGAAAATCATGTCCTTCTTTGTTTACTAGAAGTGATAGGGCTGCAGAAAATACACTCTTGTGCAGTTCAATGGGAGAAGTAGGCAGCTGTCTTCTGCAGCTGGTGCTGCCTGGGAGTAAATGTCAAGGAAAATCAACAAGGAGGTGGTCTTACAGCTGTTTACATTGAATATAGTGAGTGCACATGATCAGGAAAAAAATCTGTTAGCAAGAATGCTCAAATTTTGGTGGACAAGTTGATTCTAGCAATAATAATCTGCTTGTGTTTTCATGGGCATGTTTGTCTTTAGCGCTGTGCAAGGTGACCTTGTTATTTTGTAGGTGTACCCTTTCAGTCATAGGACAGAGTGATCTGGCCAAAAAGTTTCACTTAGCTCCAGGAAAATTTGGATGGCTGAATCCTAAGTGATGTAAAGAAGTGAAAAATGGGTTGGTTTCTGACATTCTGGATTGCTATTGTGTCTGGATTTTTCAGCGCTTTTTTTTTTTTGTCTACTGAGCAGACAAAGCATGGAAACATTGTTTGTTTGTGAGCGTTTGAAAGTGACACTTTGAAATCATGCAGGGGATGCCCCAGTACAAGTGAAATACTGTGTGAATTCGTCACAGGATTGATTGGGGGTTGATATATGACTGGAACTAGTACCAAACAAGATCTTACATAGATTCAGTCTTTCTTATGTAAAGACATCTGCATGTGAAAATGCAAACAGACGACACCATATGATAACTAATGATTCACATCATGGATATAGGCATTCTGTTTAGAGCAGTGAATAATTAGAGTACTGGCTTAGTTCTGGAAGTTGTCCATCTAGGTGTGTGGTGAGGTGACATAGCTGAATAAAAGGGACCAATGGCACTAACAGATACAGCAAAAGAACTCTAAAAATTAGTGCCCGGAAAGGCAAAAGCTGAATTGAGTAATGTCACTTCCCAGATTTAAAGGATATCATGTGGAAACATGATCTGGCATGCACAGTAAGCTGTAAGGAGAACACGAGTCTATTACAACTTAAAATCCATAGCGTGACTTGGGTAGAAGACTCTGAAAATCAAGCATTGGTCTTATCTTCCTGGCTGAGCCCCTTAAGAGTATCTGAATTGAATGTAAAAAGCACATCATGTTGGTCTTTGCCCCTTGCTCTCCAGGGCTGCTTTGTGGCACTGCTGCGTGGTTTTCTGCGACTGTGGAATGGATGACTGGAAGTGGCTTCTTGCTTGTGTGACTAAAGGCTGCTCACAATTTGGCCCGAAGTGCATACGTGCAATAGTTGTTGAAGACTGAATCTCATCGCCGCTTGCAGAAAGAGCCAATCAGTCAATGAATACTGAACAAATAGCTGCAGTAGCACGGTGCAAACGAGAAAGTTCTGCTTCTTGCACAGCATGCTGGCTTGGGCTGGGTCTGCACTACAGACACGTTGCTTGTGCTGTATACTGTAGGCAGAATAAACACGCCTTTGCCTCAAAAAAGCTGTACAGATGTGCACAGAATTTCATTACGTACAAAAGGAACCTCTTTAAAATTCTGAGTGTAAGTTCCTGTCCTTCCCTGCTCTGTACTGCGAGCTGCCAAAGTTCTCCCTCAAGCAGAAAAGACAGGGTTTCGTTGTAGCAGTGGTTTTTCTGTTCGTTATCCGAGAGCATGACACCAGAAGCAAAAATAAGTTATGAAATGCTGTGATCTGTATCTAAGAGCTGCTGGATTAGTCAAGAGAAATGCTCATCTGTTTCCCACTATGCCAGCTGAAACTGCCGTATGGTTTCCTATCTTATGTGCTCTCAGTGCAGCAGGCTAAAATAGCTTAGGTAAAGTTCCATGAGAAAGAAAAGCGTTTTAAATGGCTTCCTTCTTTTCAAAGAGGAGTGGTATCAGCCTGGAGTCTGGAAAACTAAAGCTATGAAAACTGAAAAACAAGGAACACTAAAATGATGCTATTCTTGCCGTATGAAGCAGAAATGCAGAACAGCTTCAGGCTGAAGCATAATTTCAAGTCATTAGTATTTCACTGCTGAAACAACAAATATAAGAAGTTTTGGAAAACTTTGGGGAAAAAAGCTGAAACAGACTATTTTGATAGATGCAGTTTGTGCCTGTAATTACTGTTACTAGAGGTTCATCAGCTTGGCCAGGGGATGACAGTCCTGGGGCAGGTCTGGCCCTGTTCCACGCACGTGCAGCACCCACATCGTGTCCGCCTCTGAAGCTGTGTGCTGATACCTGCTTTTGATCCCTCTGTGCCATCGTCCAGCCCAACCGCAAGCAGAGAGTCACCTGGAGAAATGAAATCTCCAAGCCTGTAAGTGCTGCTGGGCCAACTGGGGGTGAGAGCAAAGAGGATACATCACTCCCATTTTTGTACTGTAGCTTTCACGGTACATATACACGAAAGAAACTGTCGCCATCGGTGAATGCAGCAGATATCCCTGGTGTTTAGCATGAAGTCTTTGTTTTTAAGCTTGGAAATATTTTTCTTAAGAACTTTGAATGAATTAATTTTGCTGCAGTTAATAGTATGTCTGCTATCTTCCTGTAGGTCTTCGCACAGTAATTGAGCAGCAGTTTGCCCTTGGTATTAACATAAGCCTGCTGCAGGAGTGAGGTGTGTGCCTCCCTGCTGCACGTCTGCGAGGGAAGGTCAGTTTGTATGGGGAGGTGGTTGGTACCTAGGCAGGAGATAGATCAAAGGGTTCATTTAAAGGCAAAACAATTTAAACAAAGAAAAATCAATGAGATTTGGTTTAAATGCTGCTTTGCAGGTGCTTTAGCCTTTTGTTTTTCTTCCTCTCTAATGTACACAAAGCAAGCGACAGCATTTTGGAGAAAAGGCCAGCTTTTCCTGCCAGCTTCTGTGCATGTGATGTAAAAAGGGACAGTGGGATTAGAGCATGTTCAAGAACAAACTAGGTACCTTGGGTGCAGCGGTGGTGTCTTGGTCCAGACGAGAGCTGGAAATGAGAGAGAGTTTACCCTGTGACAAGGATACCAGGATTTTGCTTTGAGACAAGGTGGTGATAGGGCAGAAGTGATGTGCATCTTCTATGGCTCACTTTATAGGTCCAGCAGCAGCACACTGGTTGTCTTCTTACTGGGGACCTTAGGAAGTGGCTGTTGTGCAGGCACCCCTGTGTTTGTTTGCAAAATACTTAATAATACAAAATCGGTACATAGTAGAAGGTATAATTTAATATAAACGAAGCCACAAAGTAATATGCTAAAGACATTGGTATATATTAAAGTACATCCTGTTCCCTAGTGATTAAACTTCTGTGCATGTAGGATGAAGCACTCTGTTAATGGAACTTGACTGGAACAGTTTTGAGTTGTGGATCTGGCTTCCCCAGAAGAATAGAAATGATGAAACATTTGCCACAGAGCACGATATTGCTGCTGGAATAATAAGTGGAAAGCACATGTCAGCGTAGTGTGCTAAAGCAAAAAATAACCTTTTCCCCAAACACGTCATGGTGTTTTGTTACCTGGTGCTGATTTAACTCATCAGCTGTAGCTGGCGAACTACAAGGGTCTCATTCTTCCTCAAAGCCTTTTTTAAAAGACTCTCTTTTGGTACCTAAGAAAGCTCAGCTGGCTGGTATTGCTGCTTGTTTTTGTCAGTCTGTATTCATCTGTCCCCGAAGCTTATTGCTGGCCCATGGGCAGGGACTGGCATGTGATCACAGAGAATAACAGGGTACTTACTGATGCTTAACTGACAAGGATTTCTAGGAATGC